ATGGCGCCTGCATCCGGCAGGCACCGAATGTAAACAAGATTATTGCGCAGGCGCTGGGTAATTTTCCATTCCTTGATCTCTGCCTATTCCGTGGCGTCATATGGCCGGATGAGCTGCAGCCAATCATAGGGTGACACGTCCCAGGCGGCGGCTGCCAGCCTTTATTAGGGGACGGGATTCTTGGCTCAGTGTCTCCGCTCTGGTAAGCTTATGCTCTCCTCTCAAGATGCATTAAAGCTTTCCTGCAGAAGGATCCGAGTGTCCCGTGTATGATTTCTTGCTGGCGAGAAATACAGAGAGCGCGCGGGACAGTGGCTAAGTGAAACTTCTCCAGGCGGCAAATCTATCAAGAATTCTCCATCTGTAGGAGAATGTGTGTCATCGGAATATGAAAAGAACTGTGTATAGGGGTGGGGGATGGAAAGAGTAGGAGAGAGGAGGTAAAAGAGAAATGGTGAAGAAAGAAGAGGCTTGAGTCCCAAATTCTATTTGGCCATTACTCTGTCACCTCCCTCTTATCCTAGGGGACCCCATGCAATGCAAGGCTTCCTCTATTCCAAATATGCTGGGGACTGATGTGCTTCTGAGATGAGAATACAGGGCCTGCTGTCAGCTCAGTGGAACCCTAGACATGTGGCATTGAAGCCTTACCCTGCTAGAAGGTGAGAGAAGCCCACTTAAGAGATGCTTGGCAAGTTTTCTCTCTGGCCCCAGAGCAGAAAAGGTAGTAGGGTACCAGAGGAAACCCTTTGCAGAATTTAAAAAAAGACACTGCCTAATCATAAGTGCTTTGTACTGGGATAGTCAAGGGCACTGTCTGCACCTCTAAAAGGGCCCTAGAAACTAAGCCCAGAGTAGGGTTGGGAGATTTTGTGGAAGACATTCCCTCAACTTTCTGCAGCCCCAGGAAAGGATGGGGTCTTCTGCAGCCCCAGGAAAGGATGGGGTCTGTAATGAGTCTTTCTCTGTCCCACCAGATGGCTGCCAAATAATGACATGGAGATTCATTTATTATGAAAGCTTGGCCTATAGCTTAGGCTTGTCCCACTAGCTCTTATAACTTATATTAATCCATTTATATTCATCTACGTTTTGCCTCATGGCTTTTTATCATTCTTTCATTCTGTATGTCTGACTCCCTCCATGTCTTATTGGCATCTCCTGCACACTGAGATTCATCTCCCACTTCCTCTTTCTCTTACTTGAAGTCTTGGCTATACCTCATCTCTAGCTATTGGACATTCAGCTTTTTATTACATCAATCACAGAAATATATTTTCACACAGTGTACAAATATCCCACAACAGGGGTCCACAATGCAGATGGTTAAGAGAAACAGGGAGATGGAACAACCCATCTGTTCACACAGAGGCAGCATGTGGCACTTCCTGCCTCCATCACAATGCTTCCACTGCCTTTGGTGTTGTGAAAGGCAAACATAGGGTACAGATGAGCTTATGAACTAGACACCATGAGGTCATCCTTCACATGGTTACCCTAAAGATGCATCTCTATTCTGTCCCTACTTGGCTCTACAGGGAAACTACAAGGAAGAGAGGGCTGCAACTAGGTGGGACGAAGTCTGCCCTTTGGGGCCTGGGTGCTCCTGTGCCTGTGCAGACAAGACATGTTTTCAGAAAAGGTCTGGTTGAAAATATGTTGTGAAACAAAGTCTCCCTCCTGGGAGCAATTTAGCTGAGTTGCAAACAAACAGCCTGGCGGCCCCCCTGGAGAAACACCTCCTGAGCTAGGTGAGCTCAGATGGAGCCCTTGAATGTGCCCTGACTGCTTCTCTGCCTACCCTGCAGTGTGGCTGCTCAGCTGTTTCTGACAAGACTAGGGGTGGGTTCCTTCCAACAGCCTGCCCCACCTGGGAGATCTCCCAGATCAAACCTGAACTGCAGTCATAGCTTCCCTGGTTCATCTCTGT